AAGTTAATAGTTCTCTACTGAAGTATGTGATACCTGAAGCATGTTGTATATGAAGTGTGTTTATAACACAGAAGAAGAATAAATCTTCCAGTTGAATGTGAAGGAAGCTCAACGTGTGTGTCTCGTCTTTCCTATTCCACAGCATCACACGTTGAGGGAAGATCATCTTATACATTACCCTCAGCTATCCAAGGTTGCAGGGTAACGCATCTAAAGCACAGCCGCCCAGTGTTCAGTCTATCCGCTCACCTGTATAAATAATCCCACAGCGGTTCGCTCTGAACCAGCAGCTCCGGCAGGAGAAAGGTTGCTGCAACTCCAGCATTGCTCCCGTAATTTTAAGGATGCTTATTGGTTCCCCAAAAAACAACAAAAACCCGGACATTATCAATGTCAATAAAATCCTCCCAGACCAAACTTGAAAATTGGATGTTATGCTGCACTTAGCTTTTGTCAACAACTCAGGCGCTGAGAGTGCTGCGCAATGCAAATAACGACCCAGCCGGAATATGGTGCGCTAAATAATAAAACATAACTTAACGAAGCTTCGAGGCAGATAAATTTTCCTCGAGGAATTTTAATAATTGAGGTACTCAAATCATTCGAAGAATCGTTTTAGCTCTAATTCTGCCTGAGGTCAGGCCCTGCATGAAGAGCCACGGCATTGCACTGATCAGACTGTTTTCTTGAACATGACAATGAGTTCATTGTACTCGAATGGCTTCCATTGTCACCAGATCTCAATTCAATAGAGCACCTTTGGGATGTGGTGGAACGGGAGATTTGTATCATGGATGTGCAGCCGAATAATCTTCATGATGCTATCATGTCAATATGGACCAGACTCTCTGAGGAATGTTTCCAGTACCTTGTTGAATCTATGCCATGAAGGATTAAGGCAATTCTGAAAGCAAAAGACAGTCCAACCCTGCACTAGGAAGGTGTACCTAATAAAGTGGCCAGTGAGAGTATCCTGGATCTTGATAGTATCTCATTATTTCTGAGATGCTAGATAATTTTTTTTTTTTACCACAGTGGCGGAAACAGGCTTCCATAGATTTTAGCACCACCTAGGTTTTGTTATATGAATATGTTATTCACCTTCGACACCAAAATGTCTAACCTGTGATAGTGATCTCATCTCCATTCTTCAAGAATGTTCTAGTTTTTCCTCCTCCAATGTCAATACTCTTTGACCCTCTCCAAGACAGCTCCAGCATGGAACCAAAACTGCCAGGGTTCTGTGGAAATAAAGTAAATTTTCTTTTAGCTAGAGTCATAATTACATGTAAAGAAATATACCTTTGACAACAATGCACTGTGTGATCATGTCAGCTTCTGCACTGTCAATTAAACATGATTTAATGTGACTTAATTTTTACTCTTTTCATTATTAATGCCAAGTACATATTAATAATTTATAATCCAGAAATCTGATCCACCAAAAGAAACCTAACCTACACACAATAATGATATCATTGCATACAGCTAAATAAAACTTTTTTCCTGTCCATTCTCATCTTTAGTTCTCGTATTACCTGTTGAAAATAAATATTTCTGTGTTTTCCTTCTATCTATTTTAGCTAGTTGCTAAGCTAAACCTAAAGGAAATGACATGTTAGGAAATGCAAATGAGAGCTAGGGTTAGAGGGAATGACACACTAGGGAACGCCCTCTTTAGGGTGTAACTTAGCTAGAGGCTAACAAAGCAGATCACAAACTGTTCTTGGTTGCCATTTTGTCTTGCTAACTCCTAAAGGTGGCATGAGAAATGGACCAGGTGTATTTTGGTATTAATAAATGGAATTCATGAATTCAACTCACTGACTTTTCTTTAACCTTATACATAAAGAACTCAGCATGGAGGACGGATAATTCTCCACTTACCACAGTAATACTTTACATGCATGTTCTTTTTTTGACTCAAAGTCTTGTATTACATAACATTATTTTTAACCACGGAAAACACATAAGTTAAATTCCTTTTAACCATAAAATTATGATTAGCTTTTTTAACCAGTTAAATCATTCTTAAATAGTCTTTTAAGGTTTTGTAAAACATGACATGAAATACAATTACCAAGGAGCCTTGGTTTCTCTAGATTCAATATTCTCCCTTAGTTATCCCTTGTATCAG